GCCTTAACCAACCATAATGTGGCTGTCGTAACCTGAATTGATCTAATTCCATTTAAAAATTACCCCCTCATGTCGTGCTCCCCAGCAACTGATAGACTCCTCTAACTATATTTTTTGGGTTTAAGAGCGATAAGGGGGAGACAAAAGAGGAGGCGCAACCTGGCCAGCCTGTTGCAATAGGCCTGCGTACCCGTTGCTGGCTGCAGCAGCAGTAGCAGCAGATGACCTTCAGACGTCATTTAGAGGCCGAAGAGTCTGGCCGTCGTACTCCGACGCCGAGGATCGGTCAAACTGTGTCAGCGAACAAATGCGACTCGATGCAACAATAACAGCGCCTTCAAGTAAAAGCTCCGCTACGAGCAAAGTACTATTGAGAGCGGACTGCATCTTTCAGCTGCTGTCACTAAGATGAAGATCGGCCCGACGACCCGAAGAGGAGATCTGTTTGCTCCTCGTCGTCGCAAACGCATGTATCATCGGATGCAGCTACCGCGCAGGACCACTGCAACATCAAAATGAGGCAGGCTGCAGACGTCCGAGCTAGAGCGCGCGCGCCAAGCAGCTCACCCTCATCGTGTCAGATTGACCGAAAAAGTGAGAGCGGTTACTAGCGGCCGGCGGTTCGCCAGCCAGCCAGCGAGCCAGCCAGGCGGGCCGGCCGGCCGGCCGGCGGGCGGGCGGGCGGGTAGGCTTCAGGGACATCACTGTGATGATGTGAAATGGGGATTGTACGTTCGAGCACATCATCTCATGTATGGCTAGAGCTGAATGCCAGTCGCTGCTCTCCGTCCTTTTCTCGCTTCCACTTCCTCCACGGCTACACAGTCTTTCGTGCTTCGTAGTTGGACGCGCCGACGATTACTGCGACTACTGCGGCCACCGACAATCCACTTCATTGATAGTTGCATTAGGTCATCGGCGCCACCACCTTCACCTCAAGAGAATCGGCGGTGGGGGTGCCACAAGACCGATGGGCTGGGCTATACGATTTTGGAATGCAACGTGTTACAAGCTAGCGACTTCCCGACTACACGAGTAACGAACTAGTGCTGGTTTGGCCGCCATGAGCAGGGCGAGTATTGATACGATAGCCAATGGTGCACGGAAAACACGGACACCCTTTCTAGCGAGATGCCAAACAGCTAGAATATCTGCTATTTCGTAGTCATGTTTTATTGATGCATGCCAAAAAAAAGAAGAAAGAAAAACTCTTGATAAGTGCAAGTACCTGGTAGCCATCGCTTGTTCGTAGATGTAGAAGTCTAGTTTCAGCTTTGAAAGGCTAGGCGGCATCGGAGTCGTTGCTGAAATACCGTTTATATCGATCACTGCAGTCAAACGCTCGATTTGAAGAAGATCGATTGGTATACTCGTATTATATATCGGTGTACGTATACGGTATATTGGATTCGAAGAAGTGTCGCTGACAATATCAAGTCAGGTTCAGTGTCATAACACACGGTTGTGTTCCTACGCCGTCTGATTTCGATTTGTCTCTGACAATTAGATATTACTGCGGAGTATTGACTAAATATGAAAGAAACGAAAGTTGCAAACATTGCAATTTAGAAATTACAGAATCTGTAAGACCCGTCTGGCAATATCGCTATGAAAAAGATAAGTTGCTTTATAAAAAAACAATGCTGCGTACAATCTGCACGTCGACACGGTACTAGCCTGGGTATTGTGTACGCGAGAAAGACCTGCCCCGGAGCTAGGTGCTCGTTCAGACCGATGACAAAGAAAGTCAATTTTTTCTCACTTGATGTCTATATTTGCCTATTTCAATAGGTGTATATGTATATATATGTTCCAGCGAAGCTGTGTTAAAACGACGCTTCACTGTGAACCCAATGAGGATCGGACAATAAAAAACATAATTTTCTGTTTATTTAAATGTGCAGTTGTCCGGTAATGTCTGACCGTTGTGTAAGGATAGCTGCTAGGCCAGCCAGTAGTATTCACTATTAGACAGATTGGTACGGTCCTAATTCTAAGCCGCGAGTATCGATCGTACATCCTGTGCCGGGTATTGTAATAACTTACATGACTTCAACCCGGTTTTCTAGAGGTCACGACGAGTGTGCATTCGCAATAGAACTAAATACCCCGTAAAAACAGTGCTCCCCTACGATTCAAGCGATTGTTATTAGTGAAACTGTAATCGGGTTAGTAGAAGTGGGACGTCGCTGTTTCGACCCACCATATGAATATGTAAAACGTATGTCAATAAAATTAGATTATAGAAAATCATTATGTCAATATTGGGTTGTCGTATCGCTTCAGGATCACCAGAAACTGTCGTCTCACTTGCCTTAAAAATAAGCGTTGAAGTATTGTAGGAGGAAGTTTCTGTCGTCTGCTATTGTACACATTGCCTGCAACGGACATGTCAACAAATGACTTTGTGAGAGGTAATTACTTGAAATGGCCCCGCTCGAGACTCCTGATAAGTGATAATTCCATATGGCCATTGCTATATATGTGTGTGTTATGATTGTTACCACTCGCTCTTCTGACCAGTAGCTGGCTATATAGAACAATGTACGAGGATGAAAATGACAGCACAAATAACATTCGCTGAGTTACCTAAATACGAAAACATTTACTACGTCATGTCGACGATATCTGATTTATGCGGTCCTAACAACTTATCAACGGCGGTCCGTTTATCTATCGTAAAAATACGCCAACGACCACGTTGTCGTATTACCATTATGTATTTTCTATACATACAATCACTGCTGAATAATGTTATAGCAGGCCTAATCGTTTGTGTGAGCAAACATGGAAGGGGGACTCGCCAGATGCAATGATATAATAGAAATACACGCACTCAAAATGGATTAGATCGTATTGGATAAATATACGAACATGTTTGCGTAAATATTTTATTGTAGCCGATAGAAACGCGTAGAAATCCCGGTAAAAATTCAACCGGGTATTTCTGTTGCCATCGAGGTATTAAGTCCGAACGATTTGAAATTTATAAAATTATCCGCCATGATCCATTCACATCTGAGCCGATCAGGGCTGAGTATTTTTCGAAATATTAAGTTCCTTTATTATGTGATGTCACGATAGTGTCAGGCCATTTTAGCTAGCTATATATATATATATATATACATTTGATTAATGTAAACGATATAGATAAACAGTATGTATTACGCTCTGGACAGAAGTGATATGACAAAAAGCGTACATTATACGTTGATACGTAATCAGATCTCTGCTATATTTTATCAGGCCGTCAGCGATCGACATCGATATAGCAGACGTACGCGGTGGATTTTGTAAAAATATTAATGTTGGCATAATATTTTTAGTCGAATACAAAATTATAGGGTTGCCGGATCCTGTAGCGGGCCAGTGTTAGCCAGGTTTAGTTCGCGAAAAAAGCCTAAATGCTTGTCTTCTTTATGAGGATGGCCTTAACGTTCGACGTTTAACTAACAGCTACGAGTTTTACTTTTAAAAAAAGGTAACATTCACATCAGCTAGTGCACAGGTTGCTTCTTTTCGGTTTAGATGTTTGCGTTCGATCTCGATAGCATGGATGGCACGAATGAGGTACTGTTTTTCATTCCGTCTGCTCTATTTACGTTGAAAACTCTAGCCAACTTCGACCGGTTGCCGAAACACTGCAGCTATATCTGTCCCATCCGTAGTGGACTTCGTATAATGAGTCGCTCAACGTGTATGAATTTCCCGGTAAAAAATTTTCTATTCCATTGGCGAATTCTTTATGATACGGCTTGTCTTGGCACCTATTCATGGTTATCCATTCCCGCCTTTTCCACGCTCTTTTCCTTCTGCCTCTCGCAGAGTGAAGCTTTAACGACCGGGCATGTCTTAGGCGTGTGCTCAGTCGCATTGTTAGGGTCACTTTAAACATTTTGTCGGCCTCGTGCCGAACGCTGCCGGCAGCTTCGCCATAGCCAGCGATAGCAGCAGAAGCTGCAGTCGATGGACTGCGCGCTGACAAGTTTAAAATTCCACGAAGTCGCAAACCTCTCTCACTTCATCGCCTAGAAATAGTACAATATCGATGCAGCGTTGGCGGCGGCACCAAATAGTTCGCTTGATCTGCTGGCCCAACTGCCGCCGCTGCTGCTGCCCAGCGTCGTCCGCTCATTATTGCCCGAGGTAGTAGTTGTGCTGTTACATTAGCTGTGGCATTAGCTACCCTGTGCACCGCCAGCTAGGAATCGCTCAGGTTTTAGAAGACGCGACCGGATCTTGGACGGCGACCAGTGGGTTAGATGAGGAAGGCTATTGTAAAGATGGATGCAGTGCTTTTCGGGATTTTCGTGGCCAAGAAGCGACTAAAAGTAGACTACAAAGTGGTTGACTTTATTCGCTGGGGATGATGGCTATTTGTGCCGGCAATTTCCACAAAATCGACATAAATTTGATTTCGCTACTGCCGTCGTGGCATGAGCGCTCGACGAGCTATTGAGAGGCTCTGAGGGGTTTTCATCCAGGGAAGCAGCATTTCGTCATTCGACTCAGTGGCTTGTTAGGGGGCGAGTCCTTCGCCAGCACGCACCTCGGAGGACACGACGGCATTAACTTGCATCTGAATTTGTACTGTGATCTCTACGTGTCCTGTTTACCGAACAATTATGAACAAGCAATGAAGCGGCTTTACCACTAGTAAGTAAATAAAAGCAAAGAGCGAACGATGTAGATAATTATATGAAATGAGTAGAGCAAAATCATTGCGTGGCCTGCACTCCCTAAATAGTTTATCCATAATGGGCCATAATCAAATGATTATAAGGTATTACAATTGTCACTATGAAGGTGACGAAATCTTATTGCAGACTATAACTCGATGCCTGAGCTTTCGTTTCTTTTATGAAGATCTGACAATGATCTTGATTTTGTTTACCTACAGTTGGGCCTAGCACTTAAATCATCAAAAATCTATACAGATTCACAAAAAGAACTAATTCCCTCACTTTCTATGAGTGAAGTAGACGTTATTTTGAGTCTATTTATTTAACGTTGTTGTTGCTATTTGTCCATAATGTCCTGTCTGCAAGACGTGTATTCGTTCTCAGTCGAACGATAGCATCATACAAGCATCTGGGATTCGCAGGCGTGTCACACTATGAAGATTCTGGGGTCGACCCAGGTCGCGCCCTCTGTTTTATACACCCTTAAACTTTTTAAAACCGAAACATTCGCTACTGGTTCAACGGACTCGCAGCTTAATCACCTGAACTAATAGAATGAACAGCATTTGCGCTTACTACAGGACCTCACCGACCGTCACAAAGGTTAGTGACGTTAGGAATAGTCATATATGAGGTAAACACTCTTGCATGATCGATGCGCCGTTGCGTCGTAAACTTTGTACTAGCATTACTATGCATCGTACCACTGTGCCACACTTCAGCACCAAAAAGGCTAAAGGCGCAGTGTTTAGCACCCTGTAAATAGGCAGGCACAACAAAATCAGTCCCTAAATCTGCGTGTTCGAACACCTTCTAAGATGCCATTCCATCTTTGCATGAACTTTTCATTGCAATTGACCTCTGCTGGCCAAACAGCTGACTAAGTTCTAATCATGAGTTCGATTTCTTTCTGATTTTTTCTTTTTTTTTTTTTTTTTTTTATCTAAGAGGTCTGTTATCGTTGTTCGCAGGACAGCTTCAAGAGCGGTTGCGTAAAGGTCATTCGGTTGATTGTCTGATGCATAACGGTATACACCGGCTCGTGTCTGTTTGTCTGTACACATGCTTAGACAACCCATAGCATCGCAACTAATACAGAAATGCCGGCTACTCCGTCAGGAAAAGTGAAAGCGTTGTAACTTCGGCTTAGACCCCCCAAAAATCGCGCCTGCTAATTCCACCAGCAGCCCAGACCTTAGCAGCAACACGGGTAGCGTTCTTATTGTTGTCGTCGTTGTTGTTGTTGTGTGGGCTAACTTTGTATATATATTTCAGAACCTATCTTCTCTTCCGTTGACTGATTTTAGCTAAATATTCGACTGTTGGTACCGCTGCTTTGCGACTGTGCTTTCATAGGCAACTTGCAACTCAGTACCACATCAGTGCATATGGACCACGTACTAAGATGTTAGGCCGATAATCTTCTCGAGTTTCGCCAGCAGGACCAATCTAATGGGTGCAGTAGCAACAACAAACTGGTGTTCGCTGCAGGTCAAACGCGATGAGGCCAATGGCCGATGCCATGTTATCGACGTTCAGTCCAGCCATCATGTTGCTATCGTCGTTGTTGCTGTCGGTGCAAGCTTACGAATTTCTCTCCGCCTCTTGTATCTCGATTTTTCCTAAAAATTCCCAGATCCCGAACTGGTCGTTTAATCTAATCCTTCGTAACCTCCTTGTGGCCGCGCACTCTAATAGAACGCCATTTCAAACAAACGTCCAAACAGCAAATACTCTATGCAACACCCGAATCGTTAGTGGCGAGCATCAACAACGGTTAAGTATGGAAAACCAGAATCGCCTCGTTGACTCTGCGCAGCCTAGGCCGTTCAGCCTGAACAAACGACTATTCACAAATCTGTTATTCCGGCTAACGATTTATAATATCCGCGACATCAAAGATAATCAGAGCTAGCAGAACTTAGTAACGCTGCTGGCCCTAGCGAATGTTCGTACCTAGCGAACATAATTAAATACGGAACTTAATACACAAAAATAAACCAGTCGCTGTTGCTACCTAACTATGTTTTTCTATTATGTACAATATATATCACCACAAGACGAATTGCCGTGCAGTATATACTATATATCTTGTACGTCCTTGTATGTTACTGCCTGCTGGCTGTCATTACGCGATGATCTCTTGCTCTTTTTTGGATCACTTTTAGCTGCGAAGAAAATGTTCAGGCCGTTCGATTACATAATCTAATATATTCATACACGAGATTCGACAGACTCGGTGGAAATTTCCTCACATCCCTCTAGGATTGCTACATCTTTCAGCAGTAAGCGTTTCGGCCAACGATATTCTTCCGCCTTTGCTCGTTCGTTGACTTTAGCAGTTCTCTAGCAATACGTACAGCGACTGCCCGTCATCAGTATCAACGTCGTCCGCTGTACTCACATACGTACATGAAGGATTAGTTTGTACGCTACGCATTACCGCAACGATTCGCGATAAGCGACAATCCTAAATCAGACCCAAGTATGATAGATATGCTGGACGGAGTGCATTTTCGCTTATTATGTACGTTGGTTTCATCTTCGGCTTGTTAGCGCCATCTCTGTATTAGAAATATTGGATCGTATGCCTCTGACTGTTATCCAGCTACTGGTTCATCTATCGCCGTATGTTCTAGCTGCCTCCAGAGAGCTGCTGCGACGTTCATTTCTAGCCACAATCTGTGCCCAATCTGGCATCCCTTGAAGACGAAATGTTCCTTGTCTAACACGCATCTCGTAATCGGAAGACGCGCTCCTGCAGTTGTTATTCAGTCAGTCAGAGCTAGTGAGAGCCAGCATCGTTCAGGTTAGCCTGTCGAGGAGTGTGGATCTGTCGAAGTGCTTGAGTACCCGCGACTTGCTTCCATATGAGCCAGCACATAAAGACTACAAGCATCGAATACTCTATTGATGCTTACCAGCCAACCAGTCAGCCAGCTTCACTGCTACTATGAGGGAAATAGGATTCCTTTATTATAGGAACTGTCTGCGCGGGAATATTTTATAGGGTGACTGCTAAGTATAAACCGGGCATAGAAGCCGCAGTCGTGGCCGCGATAGTGATGCCTTTAGAAGTACACATCCATCCCGTTTGTACACTTATCTATCTCATATATAAATATGCATAGAGCGAGTGCGTCTAGGCCGGGACGGAGCGTGCACTGCGCCGTATGTCGAGAGGCCCATTGAACAGCAAGACATGAACAGTCGTTAATAGTAGCTAACGGGCCAGTCCTGGCAACGGATCGTGGCCAGGTCCTGACGCTGCTAGTAGTAGATGATTGCGCTGGCCATGATGATGATGGAGATGAAGAGACGAGGGTGGCATCTCGTAAACAGCAAATCTGCTGGTACACTTTCGCTTGACTTTCACCATCAGCTGCTGCACATGTGTACTATCCGACTGTTTCGCGCTACGAGGACAACTTAAACAAGGCATACAAATATGGAATCGGTCGACTTGTCTGCATAAGCTACCAACGTAGAAAAAGCAGCTCAACTTAGAAAGTGCAATATTCTATAAACGAATAGATATTTATCTACGACAGGCATATAGATGCATGCTTCATTTATTATGTGTGCTATTTGACCTCAAAGTAAGCGTTGAAATGCAATGAAAATCGACGCCGAGGGTGTCCGTACCATCGTTATAGATCCATGAACTTACCTATCAGTTAGAACTTAGGAAAGTAAGGAATGTGCCATAAACCCATTCTGCATCCGCGGCTAGTTGGTAATTGCGCATAAACATAACGTGCAATACATTCGAGCGAAGCGATGTCGCTACTGTAGCTTCTATTCTGCTCGCACGTAACAAAAGCTGTCATGTTTGTCATTTTTATCCAGTGACGATCCCTACTGACGACATGTCTCTACTAGTTGATTATTGGCCCAGGGGAATTATTTAGGCTGCCATCCGTTCGCTGGTTAACTTTATACGAAATGATACCTTCTCAGATGCGTCACGGCTCCTTGCGTCAAGGGCAGCGCTTTTGCTGATCAGCTTCGTTTTCTCGTGCTTTCCTCAGCATAAACCACTGTAGCTCATTTTCGTAGCCAACTTTTACGTGCATACATATGTTCATACTGCCTACCCAGCCTCTCTGTACCTGTCGCCTATAAGGGTGCACGCAGTCGGCCAAACAACAGTAGAGTTTCTTCGGGTCGCTCAATCTAGCTATCCAGTTTATGTAGTGATTTATCCTCTAACGGTAGCTGAGCGACAGAAGGCGGAAGAAAGCCGGGACCTGCGATGTGACGATGGCTCGATGCTGCCGCGCCTTTCCCCTGCCAACATACGAACTCTAAAGCCTTTGAAACAACGGCTCCCGAAGTATCACTCTCCCTTATACTTCGCAGTCCTTCGCCATCTGATCAACCTCCGCCGCCATCTTGGAGAGATCACGTGAGGCTGAAACAGCCAAACAACAAGACGGAGTGAAAATAACAAATTTGCATTCTATGAGAACAGAAGAGAGAAAAGACACCGCCAAAAGATGGAACAGTGAGAGTTGAAAGCCGAGTTAGTGAATTTACCCAGCAATAACTTTTTCCTAGTGAACAGTAGCGTTTTGGTATACGTCTGCTGGACGGCAGCCTTGGTTAGACATCTTCGACGGAGGTGAACAAAGACCGTTCGAGTATACCAAGCGATAATTATACTGGTTTTCGATTGATCGTTCGGTGAAATGATATAAATCGTTCTTTCATATAGATGTTACGCTCTATAGAGAGGTGTCAGTTATTGTACAGCGCTGCAAAACTACAGTGGTGATTTTCGATGATTACCTTCAGCGGATGGGGGAATCATTGCCTACTCACTAAGGCACTATCGTATAGAAACTGATTATTACAAAATTATATCGCACATTCATATTTATTTCTGTCTTTAAGCCATTTTAAATACGTCCGATTAAATAAATTTCGTAAAATTATACAAATTAAGGTTACTCGCTTTAACGTTTTCTCCTCGTTATTGATATATCAGCACTACAACATATAAGGAACTGGTTGCAGACTGATTTGATATTCCCATGTTTCTCCAGCCGTATTGTTTTTTTTCTTTCTTTAAACGTCCTTTTCGATATTGAGGGCTCACAGATAGGACAGTCTCTCTGCTTCGGAGCGCCCGAGGGACGTCCCTCGATGGCCATCACTGGGATGCCTGCCGGATGTGCTACGGTGCGATACCCACTCCCTAGGAACTACTGACAAAGTCGACTCCTAGCAGCTTTCCGATCGTTCTTGGTACAAGAAAACGAGAAAAGAGCGTGCTTGGACCGTCTGCCTGAGTCAAGATGAAGCAAAAATGATATGGATTCCAGGAACAGCAGCCGAACGAGTTAAGACTTTGGTTCTTACATAGGAATTAATGGGAAAGCTCCTCCGTCTATAGTTGCTCACCCAGCACTCATCGTTGGTATACTTACATTGTATGCTTTACATGAACACGATCGATATAGGCACATGATACTAATTGATGGGCCTCCGTGCGACCAATAAAAGTTTGTATTCCGGTTAATCACATTACATAATTACACAACAGATGCAAATGAAGGGAAAAATGTTGAAAATTATGACTGCTGTAAAACAATGTATTACCGGCAATTTATTCGCAAACAAGAAATAAAGAAGTTTGCCTGCTCTGTGCTATAATTGCTCTTAAATCATGAAACACGTCAGCTCTTTGTTTGTGCCTCTTTCTACTCACCAGCTTTGTGGGTGAATTCTACCCCAGAGGAAGTTGCGTAGTTGGCGGCACTACCACCCGCTGACAGGCACACTCTTGTGTATCCATCTAACAGATATGCGTGAAACTCAAGTTAGTCAATGGAAAGTTAGACGTTAACAAAAAGCCAAATCAACTTTTCTACCAAAAGAAAGAACTTGATAGCGAAAAAATTCTACTGAGTATAGGAGAAAAATACGAGCAACATACTAAAAGAGCCTGACGAGTTCCTTGCATTCGCACTTTTGACTTTAGGACTTGCCTGTTTGGCGCTGCGATGACGGTTAGATTTTAAAGAGGTCAGAAGGGTTAGTGTCGTTTGGCGAAACGCATCGAAGTCATCGCTTTTTTCAGACACCAAAGACCATGTCACTGGAGTGGGGTCACTTTCCCCTCGAGAAAACCACCAGGATCACACGCGATAGTTTTGAAAGTCAACGTGATAGCCATGTAGAACGGCCAGAATGGTATGGTATGGTATACACTTCTGTGTTGCCCCTCGCACTCAGGGTGATACTGGAGGTTATAGGAAAAAGCCATCAAGAACAGACTTCTTGACATCTGTGTCTTATTCGTCTTTTGCTAGTCGTCGTTTGTCGGTGTCCTATTCGGAGGGAATGCAAAAGCATGGCGATGGAGGACAGAAGCTATGATTAGTTATCTTTAGGCCTTTTCTTGCATTTCTGCTACCACCAGCACCGCTATGGCCGCGCATGGAAATGAGCATTCCTGCCGTAGTTGTCAAAAACAAGTCATGACGACCCGTTTTCTCTAAGTGTTCTCAAGTTAGCTGACTTTCTTTCACTGAGCTATGAGTTTTCTTATTTTCGATTTGGATGAGGATATTTCTCCGTGTCATTGTTTGCTGTACGTCGACTTCATCCTGCTGTTGACCTCACTACGAGTGACAGAGCAAACGGTAGTAGCAAAATAGGTTCTGAGCTGTAAACCTGAAGGCAAATAAGAGAGGAGGGGCGATACTTTCGACGAGGCGACGTATCTGCCAAAGGTCACAGCGGAATTCGAGCTTGTCCGACAACAACTTTGCATCTGGGACAGGGAAAAAAATTATCTGTTCTATAATATTTTTGGAAAGATATACAAACGTTCGCGTTGCTTAGATAAAGGTACCACCGACGGTAATTTAGCTATAATAACTATTAATGGAAAATCTAATACAG